GGGAAGGATTGGGCCGAGGGGGTTGATGTGGGCTGGGGGTGACGGGATGAGAGGGGGAGGGCGGGCTGGGCTGCGGGAAGGGTGGGTTGTAGGGGCTGGGCCGTGTGGGGGATATGAGGGTGGAGATGAAATGGGTTGACATCGTCGGGAGTGTCCAGGAATTGTAGTTCGGACGGGGAGGGAGAGTGGTTGAAGGGAAAGGTAGATTCATTAAAGACGACATGGCGAGAGATAATTATTTTATTAGTGGTAAGGTCAAGACATCGGAAACCCCGTTGATTGGATGGGTAACCAAGAAAGATGCACCGAGCCGAATGCGGGGAGAGTTTGTGAGGGGCAGTTGCGGAGGTGTTGGGATAGGAAAGGCAGCCAAAGACACGTAGGTGGGAGTAAGTAGGTGGTGTTTGGAAGAGAACTTCATGAGGAGTGCGTTGTTGGAGTGTGGTGGTGGGGAGAATATTGAAGAGATGACACGCCATGTGGAGGGCTTCAACCCAGTACTCATGAGGAAGGTGGGCTTGAAATAGCAGAGTGCGGACGGTGTTGTTAACTGTGCGGATTGTGCGTTCCGCCCGGCCGTTTTGTTGGCTGGTGTGAGGACAAGAGAAGCGAAAGAGGATTCCTAGAGAGTTAAACATATTTTGGAGGGGCGTGTTTCTGTATTCAGTTCCGTTGTCACATTGCACAGATTTGATGGTTGTGTTAAATTGGTTCTTTACATAAGCAACAAAATTAGTTAAGTGAGAAAAAGCATCAGATTTATGTCGAAGAGGAAAGACCCATAAGTAGTGAGAATAATCATCTAGAAGTAGCATATAAAATTCAAAACCAGTTATACTAGAAACAGGTGATTGCCATAAATCAATATGCATTAATTGAAAGGGGAAATAGGAAAGTCTAGCGGAAGAAGTAAAAGGAAGACGAACATGCTTCCCTAATTGACAAGCGTGACATAAATTATGCTGAAGTTGTTTATTAAAAGAAAACGAAGATAAATAAGGAACACTATCTAGAACTGCAGGACTGGGGTGACCAAGACGTTGATGCCACGTTTGGGCTGAGACAGAGGCAACATGGGCTTGTGCAGTTGAGTCATGGGTGCGCAGAGGATAGAGAGGGTCTTCATTATTGCAACGTTGAATCACGGTTCCCGTCCGAGAATCCTTCACAGAAAAACCGTGAGAGTCAAATTCTACAGTACAGTTATTGTCACGAGTGAACTGACGAACGGAAATAAGGTTATGAATAATATGGGGGGAAACAAGGACATTGTTAAGGGAAAGGGGTGGGGAGGTGGGGAAGGTGTGTTTACCATTAGCCGTAGTGCTTACTTTCGATCCATTACCAACAGTGATAAAATGTGGAGAATTTAATCTTTGTGAATAAACATGAGAAATAGTACCTGGGTCTGAAGCGATGTGGTGAGTGGCGCCGGTGTCCATGAGCCATGAGGGTTCACGGAGGGTCATTGTATCAAGATGGTGGGCTAAGGCCGTGGGGGTGAGGGGCTGGGGTTGGGCC